AGTACGATGACAACATTATTATAATGCTTATCTTACCACTGATAAGACAGTTGTACATATAAGGTTTTGTTTATTAATGGGGATTAGGGTTGGGGTTAGTGCTACCCGTTAACGTTCAGGTTGGAGTGATGATGATGGTGATGATGATGATGATGATGATTATGACGATGACGACGACGACGATGATGATGATAGTGACGATGACGATGATGACAGTGACAATCACTTTGACGATGATGGTGTGGTGGTAGTGGTGGAGACGGCGGTGACGGCGGCGGTAGCGGTGGTGCTGCTATTGCTGCTGGTGTTGATGATGACCTATGTATGTATGCAAGTGTGCACGTATCCTAACTTAGACCTGAACAGGACCATCTATCTTCGCGTGTATAGCGTTAGCGTGCAACACAGGCACTTGAAGCGTTTCAATAAAATAATATATAATGCTAACTAAATACGAAATCTATTTACTACCAAATTCTTAATGTTTCTATACTCTCTTCACCTATTATTGCCGACAGTTCCTGTCAATTCCGTCCAAATCCTACGTGCAACCATATACGCTGCCGGCGACATTGGTCTCACGGCTCCACTGTTGCACGCTTACACTAATATATATATAATATCAAGAGCGGATAATACCTCTTGGTATTATCCGCTTTTGATAATATATATATATTGATATAATATATATATATATATATTAGTGTAAGCGTGCAACAGTGGAGCGCCGAAAGCAATGCGCCGGCCAGCGTTGCACGTAGGATTTGACAGGAAACTGTCGGCAATAGAGAAATAGTGAAAGCAGACAATTACTCTATAAACTTCATGTTTATCAGTGCCGCTTCATTGTTATAGTAAGGCTAGCTCTACCTACAAATCTGTACCAGGTTACACAGACCTGTGGCAGAGCGAAGGGCTTCAGTAATAGGGCTATAGTAACGCTCTCCCGCGATGTTTCTCAAGCAGTGAAGAGTCCAAGCCGCCTTCTGAGACAAGCAGCGAATCCGTGGCTAGGGGTGGCAGCGACCGCGGTGAGGGAGCCCACGTCGAGGTTCCGCCGGGCAGCACGGCGGGCATAGAGAACGAAACGCTGTGCAAGGGCATGATGCTGAGCATTTGCTACGCGGCTAACATCGGAGGCTCTGCCACACTGACTGGCACCGGCACCAACGTCGTGCTAGCGGGCCAGATGAGTGTGTGAGTGTAGAGAGCTAGTAGACACATCTCTAGAGGTGGGAGGTGGAGGTGGAGGTGGAGGTGGCAGGTGGTATGTGGAGATGAGACGTACGTGGGGTAAGAGGTGGTAGGTGGAGATGGTAGCTGAGAAGTGAAGGCAGTAATAATAGGTACGAAGTAGAGGTAGTAAGTTGAAGTAGATGCAGAGGATGGTAGCTGGAGACAATGTGAGATAGTATCTCTGTCCCTATGAACATCGTCTGATATGTATTACATTATGTCTATATATGTGCGCGTAATATGTTGTAAGGTCCGTTATATTAGCATATCATTACAGGCTGTATGAGAGTCCAGAGGCACAGATCTCCTACACGCAGTGGATGATGTTTGCTCTTCCTAACGCCATGCTGTGTATCGCCGTCAGCTGGATCTGGCTGCAGATTCATTTCTTCGGCTTCAGGTATACCGAAACAATAAACTTAAATATCTTTTGGCAATAAAAATTCAAATATAACAATCATACGTGACTAAACGTTATTAGTAAAAAAAAGGTACCCAAATTAAAGGTATTGTTTGTTTCTCATAATCGCCATGCGGTTATGCGTTGTCACCTTCACATCTAAGGGATGAAAAAAGGTGGACAATCTTCCTCTGTCTAGAGGAGCAGGATTATATTTTCTGTTGTTTGTGTGTGTGTGTCTGCAGAACGTTGTTTTGCTGCCGCGCCTCATACCGCGATACGTCCGATGATGACTCTGCCCGGGACATCATTAGGAAGGAGTACGAACAACTCGGCAGCATCAGGTACACGCAACACACAACACGGCGCGTGGCAGCTGCGAACGAATGTCTTCGCTTCAGTCATGATTTTATAGCGTCGCTTTACAAATTCAACGTTCTCCTGTAGTAAGTCTATGTAAGGCGCGCATGCACGGGTGCAAGAAAGCAGGCAGGCAGGCAGATTGGCAGGCAGGTATAGGCATTAGCCAACGAGGCCAACGAGAGAGAAAGGGAGGCACAGAGGGAAAGAGGGGGAGGGAGAAAGAGCGAAGAACAAAGGAAGAGACCTTATATGTAGGCAGAGCTGGTCGTTAATACAGTGGTGAATCAATATATAAGGTGCATTATATAATAATTATGTTGTCATCGTACTCCCGTGTTATCTATGAATGAAATGTAAGATAATATAGGATATAATATCCTATATTATCTTACTCCTGGTGTTATTAGAGTTACTAACGACCAATCACACAAATGATATTAATTATATCCGGTCTGTTTATTTCGTATACGAGATCTCAACTAGGGTCTCGATGTAACGACACACACATACAGATCAAATTGTTCATTATTCGATACGCTGTATGTGCGCTCACGGGAATAAGGTATATATTAGATGTACGTTATAACGACGTACGTGATCCTCACACAGGAGGCGAGCTGCGCCTACGTCATGATAACTGATGGCTGTGTTCTGGAGTGATGGAGATTTTTCCCCATCGCATCACTGCCTCATGCCCGTCGTTCTCTTCCCGTTACTTGGCGTGATGGACGGACGGAGCGTGTCGGAAAATTACGCTAAGGTATGATGAGATATGTCCTCTTACAGCCTATGCGAATCCCTGTGAAGTTTAATTCGAGGTTTTTAATTATTGTTTTACGTCGTGTCAATGCTAATATATATATATATATATATATATATATACTGTATATATATATAAGATCGCAGTGCCAGATAGCCAAAAATTCGGTAACAGCAGCATAATTAATCAACAGTTCAATTATATCCTATATAACCTATACATATATATATATAAATATATATATATATATATATATATATATATTATATATATATATGTATATATGTGTATTCCGTGGTTAATTGTACACCAACATCATCCTACAGCTTCGAATAATATATGCACGCTGCTGCGTACTAGCTGCTTATTTCCACAACATACACACAGACCTTACACAAGCGCGCAGCCTCCATCGTTGTTGGGCTTTGTCTCTCACCAGGACACACAGATGCTGTTCATAGGAGGGCTAGCCGTGGCTGTGGCTGTAGAGAACACAGGTGAACTACACAAGCGCATCGCTCTTCCGGTCTGCCTCCTGCTGGTGGGCTCGCAGCCGAAGTGGTGAAGTGATGCAACCATCGCAATTCTTCTCTCTCGCTCTTTTTTTCTCTCTCTCTCTCTTTCGTTCTCCGCTCTCCCACTAGATCTCCCCTCTCCCTCCCTTTCTCTCTCGCGCTCTCTGCCTCTCTATATCACTTCATCTTTGTCCCCATGTATTTATATCGTCTGTCTCTATCCTTCTCCCTTTCTATATTTCTCTCTCTTTACCTCTAATTTTGCCTCCCCTCATTTTCCCTTCTCTCCTCTCCCCTCCTCCCCATGATCTTACTTCCTCTCCTCTTCTCTTCTCTCCTCTTCTCTCCTCTTCTCACCTCTCCTCTTCTCTCCTCTCTCTCCTCTCCTCTTCTCTCCTCTCTCTCTTCCCCTCTCCCTCCTTCTCCCTCCTCCTCTCCTCTCCTCTCCCTCCTCTCCTCTCCTCGTCCTCTGCCTCTCCTCATCCTCTTCCTCTCCTCTCCTCTTCCTCTACCTCTCCTCTCCTTCTCCTCTCCGCCTCTCTCTCCTCTCCTCTCCTCCTCTCCTCTCTCTCCTCTCCTCCTCTCCTGCTCCTCCTCCCTCTCCTACCTCTCCTCTCCTCTCCTCCCTCCTCTCCTCTCCTCTCCTCTCCTCCTCCTTCCTCGTCCTCGTCCTCTCTCTCTCCTCTCCTCTCCTCTCTCTCTCCTCTCTCTCTCTTCAGCTCCCTCCCTCTCCTCTCCTCTGCCTCTCCTCCCTCCTCCTCTCCTCTCCTCTCTCTCCTCCTCTCCCTCTTTCTCTCTCCTCTCTCTTTCTCCTCTCCTCATCCTCTCCTCTCCTCTCTCTCACCGTCCTCTCCTCCTCCTTCTCTGCACCTCCACTCCTCTCTCTCCTCTCCTCTCCTCTCCTCTCCTCTCCTCTCCTCTTTCCCTCTCCTCCCTCAGCTCCCTCTCAGCTCTCTCTCTCC